ATAGGCTTTAACCAATTGTAAAAACAAAAATCCCTCAGCTAACCCCAGTTGAGTTAGACATCATGGAGCCTTCTAGCTCCTAAAATAAAGGAGAGTCACAAATAATCTAGTCCTGACTAGAGGTACCATTTACCAAATATAAGGAAACTATTTCTTTAAACTACTACCTTTGCTACTAGTGATGGAATTTTACATAAAATTTTTTTTTAGTTTTTACTAGCAGAAAAAATAAATACTTGATTGGTGATGCCAAGATGAGCATTCCCCAGATCTAAAGCTACAGTTCTGCCAGGAAATCCATCAATGCCCTATTTCTGTTAGCTGGCACTGTAACTGATGGCATTAAACAGGAAAGACTTTCCATATGGACAGTCACATCTTATGTGAATGCCTCCAAAAAAAAAAATCATTACACTTAAAGGCTTCAATAGAGAGCCAACGAGCTACAAGGAAGAAGTCCATACAGAGAGCCAATAAACAATTTATCCCACATTACTCCATCATAACAGATGATTCATTCAACCAAGACTTATACCATATGATAAGTTTACAATAAGATCAAATAGTGTATTATTGAGACATTCACAGAGGTCACACACTGTGACAAAGTCTGACAAGGAAATCAGTATAGCCACTGAAAATTCTTTACCTTTTTGTAAACAGACAGAACAATACTGGCAAGTGTCAAACATTTAACACGTTATATGAAGAAAACGGAAAAGAGGAAATATGGCTTACTGTTCAAGGCACTTCCTTTTAGATTTGTTTGTATATCCTTGTAAAGGAGATATTTAAAGAGATACCATCAACCTGAAATCTAGTCAATAAAAACAAAATAAAAATAATTCCTCCTTCTCCTTATGACAGATATTGCAACCCCATGCAATATCTTTGGGAACCAGGTTTATTAAGTTTATGTATCACTAACTCCAGAAGAAGAGCATGGACAGCTCGACCAGGAACTAAAGACAGTGGGGGGTGTTTAAGGTGAATCACTTAAGACCGGTTATAAACACCTCCAGAGAGGTACCACCCCTTCAGAAGCCAACAGGAAAATCTTTTGATCTAAATGGCTGGATTTAAACAGACTCAGGACCTTCTATCCAATGGAGGCCCTGACCCTTGCAGAAGGGCTGGAAAGAGTGTGGCTTACCCAGGGCTCATATGACTGAGCAGTGACCTCTGGTAAGCTTTTAGAATGCATATAGGAACTTTTATTGGTTTTTATATTTGTTTTCTCTAATTCTTTTACCTTAAGAATAAAGATCTTTGCTTACAAAAAGCAAGGTACCTTGTAACTGCTAGCAATACCCTGTTCATAGCCCTCAGAGAGAAAACAACGCATGGTTGTTGGCCTTTAGGCAGACTAGCTTGCTAGAGATATCGCTGTATAAGGCAAGGAGCTCCGCAGCCTTAAATCCCCCATCAAGAGGGAGACAGCCACAGGTCTCCACCCAAGAGAGGTGATGGCTGGGAGCCAGAAACCTTAAGTGGGTATCCTTGAGGGACCACAGAGGAGGAACACGTGCCCTGAAAGTGAGACACCCCTGAATCTCCCTGCTATTTTTGTGAGGCTCACAAAGACAGTTTCCTATTTTTAAGAAGGTTTCTCTGTCCCTTGTTGTTTATCTTTCATACAAACAATGGGGGAAACGGACTATACACAAATATTGGACAAAGTAAAATGGAAAAGCGAAGCTCATTAATCATTTTCAATTGCAAGAATATTACATGCAACAACAGTAGACAAAAAAATCAGAAAGGATTGTGATAGTTAAGTTGACAGTGTCCCTTTCAGTAAACTCTATGGCATACTGTACTAGGATCATATGAATGGCTTTTCTGGACATGCAGAGTATTATTGACTATTGGCTCTAAAGTGGTTAAGACATTTAAAATTCATAGCATAGTAGTTGAACTATAATCAACTTTTTGGTTTAGGAATGTAACCAGAGGTCTAATCCAACACAACAATCCTCAGCAGCCAATGATACCATTGACAATTCATGCCATATCTTAAAACTTCTATTCACATGCATGGTGAAAGAAAATACATAGTTTATTTGCTGCCACTACATGTGGCATGGTATTTAAAGTCAGACACATGAATATACAGGTGCAGTGAAGTGCATACCATGAAGCACCAGCTTGCTTGCTGACACTTTGGGGAGACCTATATGAAGAGGACCTGGCTGCAGCGATGGAAAGAGCCATCGCTTGTGCACGGTTCTGGAAAAAATCTAGTTCATGACATGGGCACAAGAAAACAAAGAAGGCAAACGTAAAAACTTTTCAGGGCATGGGCCATATCTTCATGCGTTTGCACAACATGATGAGGCCCTATATATAAGCTGAAGTGTATCACTTTACATTTGAGACATTTGTTCATGCTGTAAGACAAATGTATTCATTTGTATTTTCACCTCAAACTATGCCTTTTTAGCTCACTGCTTGAGAGAAGCTTATGAAAGTCTGCTCCTCAACTGAATTTATATGGGTGGACCCTGCACTGAAGTCAATAGGGCTGAACTGACTTGGATGAAAAAATTAGGAAAGAGTTGCAAAAAAAATTAATTTTATCCAGTTTCATATTTGTAGTTACTGGTCATGGGATATGCTGGGCAGCTAACTCTATGAAGTGACCTCACCTGATAGAGTTGGATTTTGAAGGACCCTGAGGTAACTGCTAAAACTAATGAAATGCATATGTAGCAGAATTTAGCTTTCCCTTTGAACTATCAAGTTTTGTATATCCTCACATTTTTAATTCTCACAAAATGAGTGGTTTTGAAACAAACCTTCCTAAAGCCTACACATATGCAGAAGGAAGAAGTTCTTATTAGCCAGCAATTATATTTATAGAAATGGACCTCCCTTTCAGAACTAAAACTATCAAGCAGTTACTACTGTGTACGGTATAAAGCATTTGACTTTTAAGAAACTCAAATCATACTATTTGTGGAGTGATTCAGAAAACAAAAGAGTTTTTTTCCCCCCCATAAGCTATTTTTACATCAATAAAACAGGTAATAAACTTTAGGAATAAAGTTTAAAATTCTTATTAAACATACATCATTCAATTGGCCATATATCTTTGAATTGTGATCTCTGGGCTTGTCTATACTTAGATTTTATAGCACTCTAACTTGCTGGCTCAGGGGCATGAAAAATCACACACACCCCGAGCACAACAAGTCTGAGCGCTTTAAAACACTAGCGTGGACAGGCTCCGAACGCTGGGAGCCGCGCTCAGGGGCCAGGCAGGATAGTCCCACGGGCCGGATGTGATCTGTAATTTGCCCATCTCGGATATAAACAGTGTGTTCACATTTACCTTTTAACTTTTAAAAAAAATATTTTAAAGGTTTACTTTGTGCATAGGACAATGCTGTTAAATTAAGCAGTCTGTCAGCATTCCTTATTCTCTGGAATACACAACATTAAAAGCAACAAAGACAGGTTAAAACTAGATGTTGCTGAACAGAAACAAGGTGAGAAACATCTGGTGTATCAGCTGATGGGAGTGACCTATATATTTACCAAGGCCTGGGCTGGGGGGCAGGTCCTCCCCCTTGGAGCAGAGAAGAGCAACAAAAATTATTAAACGTCTTTAAAACATGACCTATGAGGGAAAATTGAAGAAATCTGGGTTTGTTTAGTCTGGAAAAGAGAGGACTGAGAGGGGACACAACAGTTTTCAAGTACATAAAAGGTTGTTACAAGGAGGAGGGAGAAGAACTGTTCTTCTTAACCTTGGAAGATAGGACAAGAAGCAATGGCCTTAAATTACAGCAAGGGCGGTTTAGGTTGGACATTAGGAAAAACTTCCTAACTGTCAGGCTGGTTAAGCACTGGAATAAATTGCCTAGGGAAGTTGTGGAATCTCCAATCACGGAGATTTTTAAGAGCAGGTTAGACAAACACCTGTCAGGGACGATCTAGATAATACTTAGTCCTGCCTCACTGTAGGGGACTGAACTAGATGACCTCTCATGATCCCTTCCAGCCTTAGCATTCTATAATATCTAAAACATCTGAATGATACCAATGTTTTAAAGGCACACTACCAATTAGAAATTATGGGAGAAGTGTGTCTTCAAAACTACTTCACTTCGTCTTTAGACAGTATGTCAAACTAAAGCTATAGCTACATTACGAGGCTTTGAGCGATATGGCTGTGCTGCTACAGCCAGGCCGCTAAAAGGCGCACAAAAACTTCCACCCCGCACGAACAGCGGCGGCTTTGTCATCAAGAGAGCTGACAAAGTGCTGTTCACACCAGCACCCTGTGTCAGTAAAACTTTTGTCATTGGGTTTTTTTTAAACACCCCCTGAATGACCAAAGTTTTGCCGATGAAGTGCCAGTGTAGACAACACCATACTGTAGAAAACGTAACGTCTGCCAGTAAAGTTAATTGTGTGAGATTCCTGTCATCAACACCTCTCTCTAGAGGTAAAATAGCAACAGGAATCCTCCTAATTTTATCGGGATAATATCATTAGGCAGTAGTTCACAAGACACAGCTTTCTGGGTTCTTTGCCATTCATGATGAGACTGGAAAAGAAAAGCACCTGCAGCAGATTTTCAAACTTCTGAACTCAAAAATGCTAAATTAAAGCCCTGAGAGGAAGGAAGGCAGGAAACGCAGAACTGGTTTAGCACAGGATGTGGGGGGAGAAACTACTCATGAAAACACACTTGAGTAAAATAAATGGAGTGTCTCCCCGATTTAAACATTTTCCCATTAACGGAACAGGGGTCCCCCCCACAACGCCGTCTCCTCCTCACCCCCCGACAGGTGCCCCCACTTCACCCCGAGCCCTTCTCTCACCTCTGGTGAAGGGGCTGTCCAAGGGCCTGTTTGCCCACAGCAGTCTTCCCAGGCGCCTTCTTCTGACCCTCCCTCCGCCGACCCCGGCGCCCCTCCCTGCGCAGGTTCCCCCCATTCCCCGAGCCCAGGCAGCGCCTCCCCGCTGCCCTCCGCGCCCCCCGCACTCACCGTTGCCCAGCTGGCTGCAGGCCGGCACGGCCAGGCCAACAAGCAGCAGCAGGAGGAGGGAAAGGGCCCGGCCCGGCGGGGACGCCGCTCTCGCAGCTCCCCGCAGCCTCTCCCCGGCAGCGGCCATCTTTGCGGGCACAGTGGGGCGATGGGCTCGGAACCGGAACACGGACGTGGCTAGGTCCCGCCTATCGTTGCTAGGACGTGAAGTTCCGCGACGGTGATGCGCCCCCCCCCCTCCACCACCAAGCGCTGTCAGAACCTCGCGCCCCTGCGCCGTGGCAGAGAAAAGGCAGGGACGGCGCATGCGCACCGTAAGGGGCCTGATTGCGCACGCGGCGTAGAAGGCTCCGCATACGCTTGTTTGAAGGGGGCGGCAACTTCCAGGCAGACTCGGCGGCGGCCGCCAGAGAGCTGGAGTGCGAGTGCGCATGTGCCAAACGGGGCGGTTCGTGTGCGGCGCTGCCCGGACCGTTTATAGGGCCGCGGCCGGCGGCGCACCTGTGAGGAGGGTTGGTGCGGGGCTAAGCGCTCCTGCCGGGGGGCGGGGCCCTGGCAGTCCCGTGGGCGCCCCACTGAAAGCGCAGGTCCTCGGCTCCGCCTCAGGATCCTGGGCCTCCGCGCACCCTATCTAGTACCGCACCGAGACAGGCGTGTCCACCGGCAGCGCCGCCCCCGGGGGCCCCGGGCTCTCGTGTCCGGCCCCCAGCGGGCCTGTGGGGCCGGGCGAGCTGCTCCCTGACTAGGGAGACTATAAGAAAAGGAGGACTTGTGGCACCTGAGAGACTAACTAGCTGATTTGAGCATAAGCTTTCGTGAATTACAGCTCACTTCATCGGATGCATCCCGTGGAAAACACAGTGGGGAGATTTATACACACAGAGAACATGAAACAATGGGTGTTACCGTACACACTGTAAGGAGAGTGATCACTTAAGATGAGCTGTTACCAGCAAGGGCAGGAGGAGGGAGAGAGAAAACCTTTTGTCATGATAATCAAGGTGGGCCATTTCCAGAAGTTGACAGGAACGTCTGAGGAGCCGGGAGGAGGAATAGTTTTACTTTGTGTAATGACCCATCCACTCCCGGTCTCTATTCAAGCCTAAGTTAATCGTATCCAGTTTGCAAATTAATTCCAATTCAGCAGTCTCTCCTTGGAGTCTGTTTTTGAAGTCTTTTTGTTGTAATATTGTGACCTTTAGGTCTGAAATCGAGTGACCAGAGAGATTGAAGTGTTCCCTGACTGGTTTATGAATGTTATAATTCTTGACATCTGATTTGTGTCCATTTATTGTTTTATGTAGAGACTGTCCAGTTTGACCAATGTACATGGCAGAGGGGCATTGCTGACACATGATGGCATATTTCAGAGTAGCTGCCGTGTTAGTCTGTATTCGCAAAAAGAAAATATATCACATTGGTAGATGTGCAGGTGAACGAGCCTCTGATAGTGTGGCTGATGTGATTAGGCCCTGTGATGGTGTCCCCTGAATAGATATGTGGGCACAGTTGGCAATGGGCTTTGTTGCAAGGATAGGTTCCTGGGTTAGTGGTTCTGTTGTGTGGTGTGTGGTTGCTGGTGAGTATTTGCTTCAGGTTGCGGGGCTGTCTGTAGGCAAGGACTGGCCTGTCTCCCAAGATTTGTGAGAGTGATGGGTCGTCCTTCAGGATAGGTTGTAGATCCTTGATGATGTGTTGGAGAGGTTTTAGTTGGGGGCTGAAAGTGATGGCTAGTGGCGTTCTGTTATTATCTTTGTTAGGCCTGTCCTGTAAAAGGTGACGCCGTGTGGGGCTAGTCTGAGCTCCCGCCCCTCCCCCCCCGCCCACTGGCTGAACCCGTCCCTTGCATGGGGCTGGCCCAAGCCACTCGTATGTCTCCCCCCCCCGCATTCCTCCACACCCCACTCTTTTGACAAAAATGGGCATTTGTCATGTTATCAGTTGGCAAAAGCAAGTGGGACAAATGCTCACCTTTGCCAAAAAAAAAGTCAGGACAGCCGGGACAGAGCTTAAAAAGGGGGCTGTCTCGGTCAAAACTGGACATATGGTCATCCTAGGCTTCATGTTCCATGACTCACGTGAAAATGTAAATGCCAGAACAAGGCACAGTTCCCACTTTCACGTGGTGAATAAGCACCCTGACTTTCACAATAAGTTAAAAATCAAGCTAATCTCATTTCAAAACAAGGTGAAAACAAATCAATCCCTAAGAACCCCAACACTACATAACTAGATCCCCACCGTGCAGGTGGGGACTGTGGTGGGCCGCTGTGCACCCCTGATCCTCCCCCTGCTTGCCGGCCGGGAGCTGATCAAAAAAAAAGAAGCAATAAGCCAAAAATTAGCCATCAAGCAACTCACAAGCCAATTAAGCCAAAAACAAGCCCAATTTCTGCATTTTTTTCCGTGGGTTTGGCATGTCTGGAATGAGGCAGTGTCCAGTACAGTACTGCCTCGCCCTTCCGTTGTCCAGGAGGGCTGAGCTGCACAGAGGAGAGGCTGCCTGAGCAATAGAACTGCTCCGGAGTGAAAAGTTAAGCACCCAGCTAAATGACTGCAACATCAGGGCGTAATTTTGCATTGCAGGTTTCACAACCTCCATCTGCACCCCTAGGTGATAGATTTGTAGAGTTAAAAAACAACAGCAGACATAGATGAGGCACTGCAGGCAAAGGACAAGACAGATGTTTTCATCTGAGATCTAAAACCTTGCCAAGAGGTGGAGGAAAGTTGTTGCAACTGACAAATGCAGCAGCACTGAAGGTTCCTAAATGCATTTTAGGAAGTTTTTGGAAAGCGTAGGGGACAATTTCCTGGCGCAAGTGCTAGAGGAGCCAACTAGGGGGGGCGCTTTTCTTGACCTGCTGCTCACAAACCGGGTAGAATTAGTGGGGGAAGCAAAAGTGGATGGGAATCTGGGAGGCAGTGACCATGAGTTGGTTGAGTTCAGGATCCTGACGCAGGGAAGAAAGGTAAGCAGCAGGATACGGACCCTGGACTTCAGGAAAGCAGACTTCGACTCCCTCAGGGAACGGATGGCCAGGATCCCCTGGGGGACTAACTTGAAGGGGAAAGGAGTCCAGGAGAGCTGGCTGTATTTCAAGGAATCCCTGTTGAGGTTACAGGGACAAACCATCCCAATGAGTCGAAAGAATAGTAAATATGGCAGGCGACCAGCTTGGCTTAATGGTGAAATCCTAGCGGATCTTAAACATAAAAAAGAAGCTTACAAGAAGTGGAAGGTTGGACATATGACCAGGGAAGAGTATAAAAATATTGCTCGGGCATGTAGGAATGATATCAGGAGGGCCAAATCGCACCTGGAGCTGCAGCTAGCCAGAGATGTTAAGAGTAACAAGAAGGGTTTCTTCAGGTATGTTGGCAACAAGAAGAAAGCCAAGGAAAGTGTGGGCCCCTTACTGAATGAGGGAGGCAACCTAGTGACAGAGGATGTGGAAAAAGCTAATGTGCTCAATGCTTTTTTTGCCTCTGTTTTCACTAACAAGGTCAGCTCCCAGACTGCTGCGCTGGGCATCACAAAATGGGGAAGAGATGGCCAGCCCTCTGTGGAGATAGAGGTGGTTAGGGACTATTTAGAAAAGCTGGATGTGCACAAGTCCATGGGGCCGGACGAGTTGCATCCGAGAGTGCTGAAGGAATTGGCGGCTGTGATTGCAGAGCCATTGGCCATTATCTTTGAAAACTCGTGGCGAACCGGGGAAGTCCCGGATGACTGGAAAAAGGCTAATGTAGTGCCAATCTTTAAAAAAGGGAAGAAGGAGGAGGATCCTGGGAACTACAGGCCAGTCAGCCTCACCTCAGTCCCTGGAAAAATCATGGAGCAGGTCCTCAAAGAATCAATCCTGAAGCACTTGCATGAGAGGAAAGTGATCAGGAACAGCCAGCATGGATTCACCAAGGGAAGGTCATGCCTGACTAATCTAATCGCCTTTTATGATGAGATTACTGGTTCTGTGGATGAAGGGAAAGCAGTGGATGTATTGTTTCTTGACTTTAGCAAAACTTTTGACACGGTCTCCCACAGTATTCTTGTCAGCAAGTTAAAGAAGTATGGGCTGGATGAATGCACTATAAGGTGGGTAGAAAGCTGGCTAGATTGTCGGGCTCAACGGGTAGTGATCAATGGCTCCATGTCTAGTTGGCAGCCGGTATCAAGTGGAGTGCCCCAAGGGTCGGTCCTGGGGCCGGTTTTGTTCAATATCTTCATAAATGATCTGGAGGATGGTGTGGATTGCACTCTCAGCAAATTTGCGGATGATACTAAACTGGGAGGAGTGGTAGATACGCTGGAGGGGAGGGATAGGATACAGAAGGACCTAGACAAATTGGAGGATTGGGCCAAAAGAAATCTGATGAGGTTCAATAAGGATAAGTGCAGGGTCCTGCACTTAGGACGGAAGAACCCAATGCACAGCTACAGACTAGGGACCGAATGGCTAGGCAGCAGTTCTGCGGAAAAGGACCTAGGGGTGACAGTGGACAAGAAGCTGGATATGAGTCAGCAGTGTGCCGTTGTTGCCAAGAAGGCCAATGGCATTTTGGGATGTATAAGTAGGGGCATAGCGAGCAGATCGAGGGACGTGATCGTTCCCCTCTATTCAACATTGGTGAGGCCTCATCTGGAGTACTGTGTCCAGTTTTGGGCCCCACACTTCAAGAAGGATGTGGATAAATTGGAGAGAGTCCAGCGAAGGGCAACAAAAATGATTAGGGGTCTAGAACACATGACTTATGAGGAGAGGCTGAGGGAGCTGGGATTGTTTAGCCTGCAGAAGAGAAGAATGAGGGGGGATTTGATAGCTGCTTTCAACTACCTGAAAGGGGGTTCCAAAGAGGATGGCTCTAGACTGTTCTCAATGGTAGCAGATGACAGAACGAGGAGTAATGGTCTCAAGTTGCAGTGGGGGAGGTTTAGATTGGATATTAGGAAAAACTTTTTCACTAAGAGGGTGGTGAAACATTGGAATGCGTTACCTAGGGAGGTGGTAGAATCTCCTTCCTTAGAGGTTTTTAAGGTCAGGCTTGACAAAGCCCTGGCTGGGATGATTTAACTGGGAATTGGTCCTGCTTCGAGCAGGGGGTTGGACTAGATGACCTTCAGGGGTCCCTTCTAACCCTGATATTCTATTATTCTATGATTCTATGATCTAACTCTCCAGCAGGAGAGTGAGTTTGTGTGTGTATGGGGGTGGGGGGGATGTGAGAAAACCTGGATTTGTGCAGGAAATAGCCCGAGTTGATTATGTAAAGAGTTGTCACTTTGGATGGGCTAGCACCAGCAGGAGAGTGAATTTGTGTGGGGGGGTGGAGGGTGAGAAAACCTGGATTTGTGCTGGAAATGGCCCACCTGATGATCACTTTAGATAAGCTATTACCAGCAGGACAGTGGGGTGGGAGGAGGTATTGTTTCATATTCTCTGTGTATAT